ATTGGTACCTTTAACCTATTTTTTATTTAATGCCTGGAAATAAAAACTATTTTTATAACAGTTAAGTTGAGTTACTTCAACTATTTGATAAAAACGAATTAATTCCAGTTAATAATATTTAAAAGTTCAGTATTTTTATTTGTAAAACTAAATAATATTTAAATAGTTGAATATAATAAAAAAATACAAATACATTAATTGTAACTTCAATTTAATACAATATTGTATTTTATTATTCAGATTACTTGTGTATAAGATTGCATGAAAATTACTGAAACTTATCTAAATAGTTTTTAACTTTTAATTTCTTCTCGGTATGAAGCTGAAAAAATCATACTTGATTTCGGCGTGAGAAAAGTATAAAAGAATAAAAAAGATAAAATAAATTGCTCATTTTGAAATAAAAGCCTGCATAATGTTCCTTCGGGGAGAAAGCGTTTATTGCTGAAGTTTCTGCGAAGTTGCGGGACTTTTAATAAACGCATAGTCCAATATCTATGAGCCTTGTCACACCAGGGTGAACTTTTATACAACTTTGTATACGTTCTCTTCGTTTAATGCATTATAATAACATCGTATTTAGTTTGTACGTAATGCGTGTGCAAGTAGGTGCTATTATTTGCCGGATAAAAAGTGAAATATAGAACGGAGTCAAAACGAAATGTCGGAATATTAAAAATAAAGACTTAAAGGCAAGTTTTGTTTTTTCAAGTTTTTTTTTTCATTCTTGCCTTGGTATTTGTATCGTATTTTATACGTCCGAAAAAGAAACGTGTTTATTCGAAAAGAGCCCATTCTAAATTGTTTTGTAACCCACGATGATGACTTGTACGTATCATACCAAGTTTAATGACTAGTTTTGGTTCATTAAGCAATACGGTTTATGGGACAACTAACCAGAAAAAACATCAAACTTGTTTTAAAACGAGATGTATACTAATGGTATTTACCCAAAACTTAAATCGTGCAAGTTAATGCGAAAGTCCCTCGAGACAACGTAGTTGTCTTTTCTGTGACACTTTAAACTATTTAGGACCTTAATCATTCGCCTTCTGATTAATACTAATGAACTGAAAGCATTAAACATCAAAATATACATTTAGTTTATCGATGAATTTGATTAATCTTATAAGTTTTGTGAATTATTGAGAACACAGCAGTTTAATATAATATTATTAATTTGTTTAGAACAAAGTATGAAAGCGAATTATTCAAAATTATAAAAACCATTGATCAATGAACCAAGTTCAAAATTATAGCATAAATGTAAGTAATAGGTATTTAACTGATGTATTTAATTTACAATATTGGAACATAATCAGGATGGTATACAGTAAATTAAAATTTATATTTTAATTCATATTTGTTTATTATCAATTAAACTTAATATGTGGGTACCGTGCATTCATGATAGTTTCCCATACGTATATTCGATTCGTTTTAAAATAAGCGAAGTTGCATGCAGCAGTCTTATATGGATTCATTGATATAGATTATAGAGTATTCACTAAAATGTTCAATCAAATCAATATAATAGTATATGATATATTAAAATAATATTTTATATTTAATGTACTTATATTATATTATAATATGTTTCTCTTGGCGTTTCAGCCGATTGCAAAATACTATTAGGGTAGAAATAGTTGTATAATAATAAATATAAATATATATATAATATATAATGTACCCCGGCCATTATGTCGGCATATAATCACTATAATGTCTTCTCTATATCGGATGTTATCTGTTCGAGTTCAAAGGGAAATCTCAATTCAAATGGAATACTTAAAAGTCCAAAAGGACTAAATAACACATCGGATTAAAGTGAGCCTCGGAGACGGAACAGTGTCGCCCTCGTGTACTCCACCCGCACAACCACGATTCTCGTTTTCCTAATTCGGTTAAAAGACCTTTGTGCGGCAAGGCCATACAGTGTGGGTGGCCAGGTACTTTTCTATACCTACAAGTAATATTATTATTACAGCTGCGTAATTAATAATAAAATACTATATCGTTAATTAATATCCGCCGTTACGCATTCGGCAGCAGCAACATCGCGATAACCCCACACTGCCTTATATCACTTGTTTCTATATCTATACTTTGTTCTCCTCCTCGTTCTCTTCTTTCGGCCCCTCTCACGGAAATTTTCTCCGCCCACCATTGCTCGGTACACACACACACACACACACACACACACAACCACCGATCTAACCCCTTCTCGCCCCCTGCTACACCCTACCGGCTGGAAGTGTTTTGCCTAACCGTGCGAAATCTCCGGTATTTGTACACCTGACAATACGAAAACACAAACCACGCCGCACCAGCCTCTACTGCCGGTCGTGTGTATACACAATAACTCGCCTGTAAACTCGCGACCGCCTTTAATGAGCGCAAACACGCGCGACGGGGATTACGGCGCGGCGGAAACGGCCGGGCGCGACGAAAAACTTCACCCGAATTGCAGCAGCAATAATAATTTTATTTCCGCCGGCCCACAAGTTGGGAAGGTCGTATATAATAAGCTCATGAAAAAAAAAATGTAATCATAAATCGTAGTTATTTCAATAATATTATCATGATGTCATAATATTATAAATCTGTGCCGAGCGTTCTTCATATTCCCGAGTACTAATTCAATCGTATCTATGTATAAATATAAATTGTTTATAATGATAATATAGAGAAAAAACAAAGAATATTGTTAACAATATAGGTACTCTGTTTATATTTGAAATTCCGTGTTTTAACACGATAGTAGCAGGTATACCTATCTCGGATACTGTTAATAAAATATTTACACACATCATAATAATATATTCCGATGTTCGTGCGAAAACACGAGATTAAAATTTCAACGAATAAATGTCCTTTTCATCCCAATAGAAAAGTACGTGCTTATATTACTATCGACAACATTGTTATCCAATCTGAAATAAGGGATTATATGCCATTATTTTCAGTGGAAAACAAACATTTCAAACAAACCGTATAATATATATCGAACGAACTAATATTTTTGTTTAATAAAAACACCTAAAACAGACCTCGTCTGTTTTATATACCTAGTTATATGTTATAATATGTATGCGATGTATATAACGCAAATGTCTATATGTTGTTTTAAACCAGACGTAGGTATTATGTAATTTACCTTAAGTGAGATGGGTCAGTGTTCGTAGCCGTAGTCTAATGAAAATATCACGAAATTTAATATTGATGCGTTTTGAACACGCTATAATAGAACACGATAAAAACTTGCAAAATGAACACCCTAATTGAGATATACTACCTACTCCACGAAGATAAAAAAAAATAAAACATCATTTTTTTTTCTGAAGGGCTAGTCCATTAATAATGATGTTGTCTACTGCCTACAATCGTAAAAGTAATTTTTTATATGTATAAATATTTTTCATTGGCAGATCATTACGATGATTGCAAATAAACAAAATGTCGAATAACACAAGTACGAGTAGGTATATATAGTTGTATGGACAATTTATTGGTGACGTCCTGATTTTAAAAATTGATAAGATTCGTTACGTTTATACCCGTATGTAGTTGTTACTTCATAATTTTCAACTTAAGTCACGTGCGCTGCAGTCAATTTATAGTTATGATAATCATATTATGATGGAGAATTTTTCCCATTAAATCATTTAAATCCAATGCAAAATTTTAAAAGAAGATCCAATTTGAGTCAGTTTACGTGTTGTCGAGTGATGAAGTAGAAATCCGGTCGACGCTGAATTATTATTAAATTCAAAGCTAGCACTATTAAATTATTTCTTCGGGTAATTTGATTGCACTGAACGAGAGGTATAAAAATGAAGTGGAGAGCAAAGCGCAATGATGAAAAATAAGGGTGAAAAGTACGGACAAGGGTGGTGGAGGCAGTGGTGGTTCGAAGACGAGGACACTTCATTCGCGGTGCATAGGGGAGTGTAGAGGACTTAAGCCTCTGACGACGATATATGCTACTGCGTTATGAAAGGTACACGTCAAAGGTCTTAAGGGATGGATGCGGGGGTGGCTTTTTATCGGGAAGCCAAGGATCACGCATACGAGAAATACGGTAGAATACGGTCAGAAAAATTCCATGTCTGCAACGTTCCGGAGAAATCTGAGTCAAAATCCGTAAAAAAAAGAAATAAACAATGGAATAAAATATATGCTTTTAGAAGTTTAGTATTAAGCGATTATTGGCTTTAGGTCTCTGTCTTGTACGGTGATTTTTAAGTAGTATTTTTTTTGTATTATTATTATTATTATTATTATTATTATAGTAGTGTATCTATCCCTCCGATATCGGAAACAAATGAATTCGCTAATTGCAGGAGTCATTAGCGAACTCGTTGGTATTATCAAAATGGATGAAATACACATAATTCATTATTAACGAACGTTCCGTAGTCGTGCGATACGTTTAGTTAACACCAGAGATGTATTTTAATATCCGTGTAATTAAATTTGAGTTTCCGCAAGATGAACTCAAAAAAAAAAAAATAAGAGAAAACAGTCTCCACGAGAAACTCATTTCCGCGGCGAGACTACTAAGGAAAAGAAAACGGACGCTGTTCGCGTTGGGGATGGAATGGTTTTTCGGATGTTGCACGATGACGTACATAATAACAACATACGCCGCAGGGACGAGGTGGAGTAAGATTTAAGTTGTTGTGAAGTGCGACAGGTGTCGAGACGATAGGATCATGAAATGTCAGGTTATATACCTATGATATTATTATCTTTGTCATTATTATTATTATTATCAATTGCCCTCCGCACGTGTACAACAGTAGACGAGTATATTATTATAATCTGTTATCAGCTAACCGATATAAAGCTTTATCTGGAACCTACCAGATACCTACCTAACGTCACGGTATATAAGTGCACCCGACAGAGGGGTCTAGTTTGAGTAATAGTCAATGCAGAATACGACTTATAATATAACATTTGTAGGTATTATTAGTGATAATAGTTGTTATTCTTACCTGCGGGCGCATAAACAGCCAGGCCGAAGACCGCGACGACGGCGGCGGCGATGCGAAGCCGGCGGTCTGGCGACGGTCGCATGGCAGCGGACCGTGAGCCGCAGACGACAAAAATCCGCGGCGACGGACTCGAAAGTCTAACACGATGGTTGTCTGCGGTCGTCGGATGGCGACGACGACGTGAAGACAGAACTTAGCGGTGGGTCTTCCGGCCACATGACAGCCTCGCGAATATAAAAGTGTCAACAAACCATACGACAGAGAAATGCGATGCTATGAAATGTCTTATAACAAGTATACTCTAGCGAGATTTTCGTGACGGTCCGCGGAAGAGGCGCGTTCGAGAAAACTCGAATAAAAACAATAACATACACCGCGGCGGAAGCGGTGTTCGAGACACTTCCGGTCACACACCGATTCTCCGGAACCGATTTGTCAATTAAATATTGTATTGTTAGTGTCGTTATGAGACGACAGACACTGCACCCGTGCACTTGCCGCACACGAACGCACGACAGCTGCACAACGTTACGCGGCGACCGACGACGACGACGACGGCAGCGGCGACGATGACGATGAGGTCTGTACCGTAACGCGGACGGTCTTGTATTGACTGCCGCGGCGCCCGGCGCTCGTGATAGTTGACGCGCGGCGGCGGCGGCGTCGTTGTCGTCGTCGTCGTCGTCGTCGTCGTCGTCCCCGACACCATCATCAACCATATACCGTAGTCCCTCCCGCGCCCTTCGACCACTCGCACCAGCGCCCCCAGCGGACGGTGCGTATATACTCCTCGAGTTTTCGCGAGGGAAAATTATTGCACCCCTATCGCGGCACACGGTTTTCTTTCATAAAACCTTATGTATATGTGTTATATTATATATATATATATGCCATTATAAATATTTTCCACGTGCATGTACGTTTTAGATATTATCGTCGTAGACGAATACGCACGTCGTGTTACAGAATCGTTTTTGGAAAGCCCAAACTGTCTGCATACTCTTGTGTATGAAAACGAAAGAAAAATAATGGTCAAAGGATTCAAAATATTATATAATAAGGTTGATGTGGTAGGCATTGAAATGATCCGCACATAATATGCGATCACATGAGCGGATTTTACAACTGTTTTGTGATATAGGTAGGATATCGATGTATCGCTTTTCAAGTCGTATCCGCGGGCACATCGCATGCGCAATCTGTTGTTACAGTGTCTAGGAGACGCATATTATTATGCTTATAATATGGTGTAGGTACAGGAGACACTCGTTATCCACGGTGTTACAATATTGTTATTGTCTAATACTTAAGTTCTCTTTAAGGTTAGGTTATTACTCCTTTCGCAGTTTGAACATTTTACCCCTCTCAGGTTACCCAATATTTTATTGTTTTGCTGTTTTTATATTATACGTACAACAAAACCGTATTAAATTCCTCGAAATAAAATTCTGCTCGTTCCACAGTTTTTTCGGAACACATCAATCCCCGCCCACGACTTTATATTTTCACATGAATAGCTGGGTAAATGAATTATGAATTACATAGGTTTTCTGTAGAAATACAAATTTACCGTCAAAACTTGATATTGTTGACAAATCGTGTGCTTAAATTAATATTATAATTTATGTCCTCGAGAACGGTTTTGAGGTTACTAATAACATTATTATACACCATTATACTCGTATCTACGATATGTTTTACAAGTTCTGATAATATACGGATTTCGGTAGAAATGGCATATTTTTATATAAAGTTACTATTTTCAGATTTTCTTTTAAAAAGTTTCAGTGAAAAAAATTAATATTGATAAAATACGAACAGCCCCGATTTCGTGTGTATCGTAATAAGACCGTATTGGCATTAAGTATAATCCAATACACAAGCAACAAAAAAAACAACAATTCATAACACTCCTATTATTACAATTATTGACTTAAGCTTATAAATATATCAATAATAAATCTTTAATATTTTGCAAGTCTATACTGTACAAAATATTGCATGAAACTAATAAGTACAATACATTTGTTTAACATTATTGAATATTATTGATAAGTTATGTTGCAGGTAAGACATACAAAAATCAAATCAATCATCGTTTTGCTCCTGAACATTTCAACCTTTCGCAGAAGAACCATTGAAATACTAAACAAAAAATAAAAAACACTCATACAGTCTGAATATTGATTATATTATAATAGTATCAACATATAACCATTCTACACCTAAATAAGTAAATAGTTTTTAAAATATATTTATATCGATACGTACATATTTTAATCAATTTAGCTATATCATCATTTTGATAAAATACAACTAAAAAAAAAAAAAACCATTTCGTGTGTCTCGTCTACCATCTCCCCATCTTCGAATTTGATAGTAACTCAATCAACCCTAATATCTAATTCAACCCACGGCGGTAGCTGTGCGGAACATCAATTCGTAGCGTTACACGGATGACGGAAAAAGATAACAAATCGGCGTGTGGCGTCATGGCAATTACGTCTTAGGTGCACCTTAATCTTCTTATACAACAGCTGTGTAGGTAGCATTAGTGTTGTTGGCTGTTGCAGTTCATTGGAAAAAAATATTAAACTAATACGTCTTCACGTAGGTATAATAATAATATAATGTTGCAGTGCGAATTAAATTGATGATACTGGTTTCCTTATACATTCAAGAATAACACATATTTTGTTCACATAATATTAAATTATTCTAATTTATAATTTATCTCCCGAAACCGCACCAAACAGCTTTTAATACATTCACGTCATACGTAGATAATATATCTAATAATAGCTACTGTTAACATTTCGATGGCTCTCAGCGCCCTACACTGACATGTTTAGATTCGTTAACATCAGTTTCTGCATATTTCCATCTATTTTTTTTGTTTTCAATTGAGAAAAATATGAGCTAAACAAAAAAGTTTTAATTTTGAAATGTAAAACTGTATATATTTATGTAATGCTTATAGATTATTCTGATCTATATCGACATCAATTATTATTTTATTGGTTATAGTTCCTGTATAGGTACAATTCATTATCATTTCAGTACCTGTAGTAGGTAGATGTGTGTTAATCAAGACATCATTCATGTCCTAGTGAGTATATAAATACATTATTATTAATAAATAAATTATCAAATATTTTATAGAATTCACAAAGTTAGATTAGATTTATTAAAATAATTTAACGAAATATGCAATTTATTGTATTATTACTTTTCTACGTATAACTATTGACTGCAGGTCACGTATATTAGATATTATGAAGTCATATGTACTTACTAACAGTTAAAAACTGTCAATATTGCGTATTTATCTGAAAAGTTTATTTGTATTTTACGAATAGATAAGATGTTTTATACTTTTATTTAAAAATATAATATGCTTTCTTTTTATAAACCTCGTTTATCATTCATTCAGAAAGAATATAATAAATTATGTTCCATTCTAAGTCAAAAATAGTAAATTCTACTCGCGTTCAACGTTTGAGATAAAGATATTTTGTATTAAATTTTGCCTGGGGTATTATCTCTGTGAAAAACGTTTGTAATAAATTCTTCGTGCATTGTACAGAATATAATAAAACACGATTTCTTCTTATAAATCTATACTGATTACCTCTATATTGATAAAAATAAATAAAAATCCAACAGATTAAATAATAGATCAGCACCAATAATTACCTATTTACTTCAAACTTTGAATTGAATTTTATAATTAGTTAGCTTACGTTACTTTGTTTCATTTAGCAAGATTGCGTTTTATTTTTTTATTTACAGCCAATTAGTGTTTACTTTGTAAACTTTTTCTTGCTTCGTTATTGTCAATTTTAAACTTTTTAATGTTGATTTATTCTTATAATTTGACAAATAAATCGATTTTATTTTTAAAACTTTTATACATAACTATTTTATATGTTTATATTATAATATTATGAATGCCTACAACAAACTATATTTTCCTATGATTTATAACCAAGCAAACGTTGGTTAGGTAAATCGTAAATGTAAAAAATAACACGAGCCGAATATAAAATGGTTATGTTTATAGAAATAAATCAATAAATTATGCAATTATTTTTTTTTTAACAGTTTGACACTTACAATAAAGTAGTGATTCACATAAAACATTCAAAGTTTAATTTTCTCAATTAGTTATTATGATAAATTGAATTATACGAATGAGAATCTTAAATTATTTTTATTGGTTATTTTTAATAACAATATTTTCGATTGAAGTGGCTGACGAGATAGTATAATATAGGTACCTAATAATAATAATAATGCATTCTTAAAATTATACTATTTGACAAAATGTGACTATAAATTTAAAAATATTTTGAAATAAAATGTTTTCATTTTATAAAACCTGTAATGTTAAATTTGTTTTTAGCACGGAATAACAAAATAAATAAAGAAGAAGTTAAGAACAACATTTTAGACATATTGATTGATGTCGTAACATACTATGTAGTTATACACACGCACAAGAACACACACACATACTCACAGTATATATATAGGAGTATACATTCGATTCCAAAACACCAGTGTGACAAACGGCCATCACTCAATGTCTGGAAGGAATAAAATAGGTAAACAAAATGGATTCTGTATGAAATCCTTATGATTAGATTTATGTTGTATAAAATTAGAGGGGAAAATTGTCTCTTATAAAAGTTGACTGGAATACTGAATATAATGTATTTTTTTGCAGCTCAGACCATACAAAAATAGTATCAAGAATGCTAAAACTGTTGATGACTTTTTTTCTTTTAGACAAAGAAAAAAGAGAAAATGAAAAATGCCAGCAATTGCACGTTTTAAAAACAGTCTGCCTACCTATTATGTATACTTACAACACTGGAGCAGTTGTACATTCAACGTTTTTTTTTCTTTCAAACTCCATGTTCCACATCGATAAACATTTATGGTTGATATTAATCTTTACCAGCTATCATAATTTATTCTTTGTTTATATTCGCTGTTAATCCATTACATTCGTGTGTATGCTGTGTTTGATTTTTTATATGTCCAGTGACCGGGTAATACAGATTTTTTGGACTGATTGTACAGGAACAGTCATCTCGAATGATTACCAACTGTCAATAAAACGAATTTGCGTATTTAAAACGTTGAATATTCGTACCGATAATACCTACATAATACAGGTATAATTATATTATATTATGCTTATACCTGTGTTTTTACACTCGAGTTAGGTAAATATAATACTATTAATATACAGTCTTCGACATAGTAGTTGATTATAAAATAATAAAAAAATTAACATACGTGATAAAAACCTAGGTATATGTACTTAAAAGTAGTCCATATATAGAGTTCATTGATCATTTATAATTTATGTATTTCGACTTTTATTACGAAACAAGAGCTGATGTTGATTTTACATTTTTTTTATTAGTTGATTTAATTTAGAGTTATTTCCTATATTATCTCTATATGATTTCGTTTGAATGTTACTTATATTTCGTTATCTTACGTTTTATGGTCTCGTCGTATTCCTGTATGCATTTCAGATATTATCTGATTTTGTCTAAATGTTTATTGTGTCATAAAAAATAAGGTTAATCGAAAATAATTGTATAATGCAGGTATACCTATTAAATATTTATTAAATTGTTTATTTTGTAGTAAAAACCATAAGAGTTACCTAAATTTTACAAGAAGCTATTCAACAACGCTTCCCGAATATATAGGCAGCAAGTAGGTACTTAATAAAGTCACCCAATTATGTTTTATAAACAATTATCTGTATACTATTTTGATGACGGTGATCATTTTCAATCGTAATTATAGTTAGAAAACGCACCATTAGTGGGATGATTATTTTTCTACTTATTAATAATTAAAATTCCAAAATCGATAAAGAATATATTGTCAAAGTTATTTTTATATTAATATTTGATCAAGTACATACTTTTGTTAGTATAGAAATCAAAAATACTTAAAATAATAAGCACATAGGGATAACTTAAATTATATTACAACATGAATGTCATATTATTTTGCAATTTAAAATTAAAAGTTATTATTATTTAAAACTTAAAATTAAGAATATTATATTAATACCCGGATTTATTCATGCAGTTACCAAATGATAAAAATATTTATTTAATTTCAGTGGATTCATTAAAATGGAATCAGTGTAGTGCTGTATTCGTTGCCAAATTTAAAAGCACAATGTTGAAAACTTCTTTTTGTGTCAAATTATGTTTGTTATGAAAATGGCTCAATCGGGGAATGTTAATTTGGTTTTTATTGACCGAAGTGAAATTATACGATTACTAATAAGCAGGAACTAAGAATTGAGATGAATAAAAGTAAACATTTTACTGCCGAATAATTGTGAAATCATCTCAGATGAATATCATTCGTTAGTCCTAAAATCTCTTGTGCACTTTTAGACAAAAGGGATTATAGGAGTTAATTATTAGTGTTTTGTGTTTTTTGTTTTTAGCAACATTTTTATTAAAATGCATAATCTTATGTTGGCAAGTAAAAGCGATGATTCGGTATTTTGACATGATTAATGTCCACTTAACAATTAACTATATCATTGATATCCATAATCATACTACGCATACCTACAATAATTTATATTATGTTATATATTTAATACAATATAGTATGCATTCAAAATCAAAATACGTAAGTATTAGGTCCTTATTAAGTTAAAATTTTATGCGATTAAAATAAAATGAAAATTCTAACTAAAAGTTATTAAACTGAAATAAGTATTGGATTGTAATTATACCATGAATACAGTGTCAAATATAAAAATACCTATTTTTCGTTACATTTTCATAAATATAAACTAAGCATGTCTTGGTCGGTTGAATAATATATAATTCGAATCAGTTTTTGAAAAATACTTAAAAATGACCATTAAAAATTACAAAAAACATACAATATTATGTCACAACCTATTCTTTTGAAAAAAAAATCGAATTTAATTTTCATTGTTTTTATGAATTCATAATAACAAATAAACCGAGTTTTTAATGAGCCACATTTCTGTAACAAAAAATATATTATGTAATTTTTCTTTTGAATTAATTTCTAAAAAATAACTTTTTTTTATTTATTGTAACTTTTCAGCAAAACAATGTGTAACAACTGGTGCAGCCTTTGAAATTTAAAGCAACTCAGTGCGATTCAAAAGTTTTTTTTTTTCAACTATATCAAATAAAATATTATTTAAACTTAATTATTTAGCTCCTGAACATTGTTTTATTTCGATCACTAAATAATAAGTACTGAGAAGTACTGAGAATATTCAATGAAACTTACTTAACATACCAAAGACTGTTTAAAAACTAATCGGTCACCAAAATTCACCAAGTCAATTTTTATTTTTATTCCTACTCATCTAACTCAACCACGTTTAGAGACTTGAAATGAAATATTTGTGTAAGATGACCGATTGATTTTCCCCTTCTGTTATAAAGTATTCTACTGTAATGTAGACACATCTGTTTTTGTTGTACTTCAAAACATTATAGTTTCACCAGAAAAAAATATTTATTGGTGTTTTATGATTGTATAAAATAAAACAAACAATTTTGATAGCAAGCACGGACCACTACGGTTTATGTTCGATCGATGTACTAAACTCAATAGTAAAATGAATATTTGATATGACTCACTTCTGCGATAGTTGTTAAGATAATAGAAAACGCAATATCCATCCACTAAATATCGAACGTCTCAAATGAATTACCCCTGTATACTACTGCAGTACACTATTAAATGTTCGCTAAAGATAAACACGTTTTATTATGTACATTTAATGGATCGACGTTAGTGCTCCAATATTATGTCCGTTAATTTGATCATTGAGATCGTTTAAAGGCTTTAAAAAAATATAAATTGAAGATAGAATATTAGATTGAAGTGAAATTGGATAAAACGTTCATTTACATACCATTTACACAGCGTGTAGGACGTCGGTGTAGTATAATGAATACATTTTACGTTTTTAACAATTCGGGAAGTCCTTAATTTGGTCGAAATGTTTTTTTAGGATAACTAAATGAGTATTAAATAGTATACTTTATTGTTAAGTTATTAACACATTATTTTATTTAATTAACAACTACCCACCTAGATATAAAATAATTGTTTTTATTTTTCTCTAATGAATACTATATAAATAACAAAAGACTATTATTATCACGTCACGCAACATTGTAGAGTTTTTGGATCACGATTTTGCATTAAGTCGTTTTTGGATCGTTCGAAGTTGTGCATGCTTAAATAGCTGTTGTTTCCATGGCTATTATGCCTTTTAATTAATGAGAAGTCGTGAAACTGAACACGAAACCAATTAAAAACAGACAAAACTAGTATCGCAAGTATTGTGGAATATATATAATATATAAATATTTTTTCATGTGACACATATTGTTTATATTATACGAGTATAACATACATAATATTAAAACCCAGATAATATAAAAAAAATACAAGTATTTTTTAATGTTTGCGTATAAGGTAAAGTAAAGAGAAGTAACTACCTAGAAGAATCTTCTTTTTCTAGTCTTCAACACCGTAGGTTATTAGCTTGTCATTGAGTTTTACATTTATTTTCTTAGAAATTGAGTGGTAAGTGTAAACAAATTATAACATTTTCAATTTTTTAGGTATATTTGTAATATTTAAACATTTTATCATTTTTGTGATGAATTGGTGTTCATCGAGCTCTACTTCTATGTTTGATATTTGTATTTGATAAGCATGAATTAGAAAGATTAACAATATTATTCAATGATATTGAATTAAAATTATAATAAAACAATTTAATTAATTTTTTTTAATAAATTATTTTATATATTTTTCAATATTATATGGCCAATACTTTACATATATTATTATATATTTGAATATCCATTAAAGTGTTATCTCATAGAAAACACTTTAAAAGAAAAAAATAGTTCAGTAAAACTTCAAAGTTTTTTTTAGGCGTATTAACTGGCATGTGTAATACGACTTGCGTTTTTGGAAAAGGGTAGGCGATACTCGAAAGGTGGACATTTATTGAACTAACTTTGTCCTTAACTGTGACCTTTGGTCATAGCCTCATGACATTTCACAACACTATTGCCAAGCGTGCATAAATATTATATTAAATCATTGATACTTTCTTTTGGTCATGAGTACCGAGGTACTTAACGATAATGTCTCTCAAATTATATGACGTGTTCCATGAGTCAAAATTCTTAATAATATAAAAAAAAATAGCTAATATCTTTTTATATTTCACGACAATTTATGCAAGTAATTGAAAAATATTAGCAAACCATACTTTAATACAATACTATCGGTAACTGGTAAGTGATATTTATGTAAATATGTTATATTATACTATATAGGGCAGTGGTTCTCAACCTATAGCGCACCACCTACACAGTTTGAAAATCTTCATGTGCCACTACTATAATATGTATACGTTATTTTACATGACGTATGGAATTTAATTCATCAGGTACTAAAAAATCATGACAAAATAAGTATTTATAATGCACAAAAATAAAGCATGTACAATTATTATTTATATTATTATTAATACCAAATAAATCAAAATACCAAAACTTAGGTGATGTGAATAATGATTTTTTTTTTTTATAAAGAGAGATTTCCTTCGTTTACCATTCATGAGCTTTCCACGTATCACAGGTTGAGAAGCGTTGATATAAAGTATAATTATAGTATTTAAAAATTAGTAGGTAATAAATACTGTTCGAAAGAATAATTAATATTTCTGATATCATGAAAAAAACATTTTATATAAATTTATTGTATTTCATCGTTTATAGAACATTGTGAAACAAAAAAAATATCGTCGACGCATCGACGAATAGCCGGGTGAGTGCAGAATTCACACATGCTACAAACGCCAATGGTCAGCGAGACCATATTTTGCGCCCTATTTGACAGGCCCCGCTGTCGGTTAGGTACTTGTCAAGTTATTAACATATTTCAGCTTTTACGCGACCCGGTACTGAACATATTGTAACAACATTCATTCTACTATATAATTATATATTAAATAATATAAATTTACCTAAAATTATTTTTAATTTTTAAAATAATGCATTTTTGTACCATAATCATACATACCAACTGTAATGTTAAATCAAACTCAACATTTAATCAATGTTCGAAAACAAGCAGCTGCATATTATTTTACCTTTATTCCTTTTTACCACACCGGTAGAGTTAATATTATTATTATGATTAATATTCATGGGACGATTCAACAGAAAATGCTGAATTAAAAAATATATATAATATTATCGTGTATGGTAATTTATTATACCTATTTATTTTAATAATGCAAATGAATATATCAATGTAAAATAACATAATTGTATGATTGTACAGCCCGGTTATATTCATGTCGGGATGATGTCATATTTGAATTTATTTATACAATTTAGTTCATAATACGATAACCCATCTAAAGTAAACAATTGTTTCACCATTATATTAAATTTAATTAAATCTTTCACACGCACAGTCAATATATACAATGTAAATACAAGTACCCATATAGATACGGATGTTCTACTACGTTATTGTTATTAAATATTAAAGTCTGTGGTCATTTAAAATATTAAACAGAAGAGTCATTTTTTTTTTAATTAATTATTATAGTAGTTTATCATCACTCATCAGCACTGCATTTATTGTTGTGTTTGATTGTTTAACATTATATGTTTACTCAAACCACTGCCATGGTAAAATTATTATAATTGTATTTGCGAATGCATTTTACATTATTACTATAAAATATAATATAATATATGAAAACGTATATACATAATACGTGCATTTAAATACCTACATAAATAAACATAATAATAATATCATCCGTAATCACGATTAATCTAAATTGTAACGGTATCCGTGTAATTATAAGAAAAACGCGTGTGCGTACAGATTACGTTTGTGCAAATATAATAATATTACAATATTATGAACGACTATCAAACGTGGAGACATTTTCATCGCATTACGTCGGGCGAGGCCAATAAATTTAGGCGTTTGACAAACAAAAAAAAAAAAATCATAATATAACCCAACGCGTTGGTGAGGTTATAATAATAATTAAACTCGATCGTCGGGATCGCGAGAACTTACGAAACCGGCTTCGGGCGTTATTTCATTACACGCAGTGTATAATATGACATAGTAGCCCGAATGTGCACACACTCACAGACTGCATCAAAAAGTCAGTCGAGTACCTACGTATTTATACGTGCGAATTTGTCGATTTCCTTATATTGACAGTCGTATCATACGGCCACCGCCGGTGTCACGGGACCGCGGTTCGAGATCAGAAAACAAATCGAAAAAATAACGGCGATAAAACGCGTACGTTCCAAATATTTATCCTCGCGCACAAACAGCACAGTGGCGGCGCGATGGAAATCGCACGCGGAGGCGGGTCGGCGTTTTTGTTCGTTAGAATACGCGTTGTCGACCGCACCGAATCGGCCCTTGACGCCCCCCCCCCCCGAAGGAGCTGTGAAAACATCGTCTCTCTCGCGTGGCTCGCAATACCCGACATAATATCACCGATACGCATGGCTAACGTCCATAACGGGCCAGAAGAAGAGTGGTGGCCGGGCACCGAGAGCGGATTTTTCTTCGCATTCAAGTCTCTTTTTTTTTTCTCTCCGGTTAATCTTCCGAGTTCTAACACTCGATATTATTATACTATACCTGCCTACACACGGATCACCGCGTCATTTCGAATAATATTATATAATATGTGTGTACAAGACGTATATACCCCGCGTGTGCGTTTTTTGCACACGCGTATTATATGTACTACGCATACGTGGGATACAGTATTATATCGTAGGTTATAATGGCCGGCACCCCGAAAAGAGAGTGAAAACGGCCAAATCAGTGTCGGTCGCGCCTGTATATGTATACGTGACCGTACGTCTGCGCGTGTGTGTGTGTGTGTGTGTGTGTGTGTGTGTGTGTGTGTGTGTGTGTGTGTGTGTGTGTGTGTGTACCTTTACCGACGACCGACGTGTGGGTCGTGTGCACACCATAATGCACGAGAGGTTTTCTACTTCTTTTCTTCGATACTCCTCTCTTTGAATCTATCGCTGCACCGGCCACCGACCGACCCCGACGAGCCCATTGATCATTGCTCGAAAATCCGAATTTATTCACACTCGGACGATCGCTTACATCACGCACACACGCGCGCACACACACACACACACACACCCGCGCGCATGAAAAGGTTCTGGGAAAAAAAAATTAACCCCTCCGCGCGCCCTCATCCCTTTTCACCGTCGCGGTGATGTTTGGTCCTCCGCGCCACAATGGGTGTGCGCTGCGCAGGACGAAAAAAAAATTCCGTCCGTCCCGTACAAGGGCCGAGTCGAATCCGCTGCAGCTGCCCCGGACCGTTGTGAGCGGACCCGATTCTTCTTCTTTTTTTTTTTTTTTGTCCCCGTTTTTATGTTCCTCCTTTTCACGCAAACAACTCGTAACGTATACAGACACAATAATGGCTGTATGGTGCAGGCTGTCGGCATACGGTTATTGTAGTTATTGTACGCGCCCTGTGTATGTACAACACACACGCCGAGGTTCAATGTTGACGTTATACTTGATTAATTTTTGGAGAAGTCGTTTTTTATTTTTACCGATGAAAGAAAAAAATGATAGTTTTTTCTCTCTCCGAGCTTCAGACACGCTCGGATTTCGACGACGGCGACGACGACGATGGCAGTCTGCTTGTAAATATTGTTCTTTCGCGGTGTAGCTGGGCACGGGGGAGATTTTCGACGAGAAGCAAAATATGTGATTTTGAAAATATTTTGCATTTGCAATACATTCAAATCTCACTTTTTTCCGTCGATGGAGGCACATAGCTATATGTACACTATATTTTGTACCTACACATTTTATGAAATAATTTTGATGTACAGTAAATGTTTTGAGTTTTAATGACCAAAATATTATATTAATAATTATTAGAGTTGTTTCAATGTACTTACACAGGCCTTTATTAGGGCCATATATGTAGCCACCAGTTAAACCCCCACTGACTGAGTGGCGTATACGGATAACTGAATAATAATATGATATTATATTAAACCCACTGTTTAAAATATGCAGCTACACTGCCGTACACCGCAATTTTTTGGTAATAAAACTAACGATTAACGAAAATAAAAATCGTGGGCGCCTTAGAGTTTTTTTTGCGCTTCGAAAAACTACGAATTTGCATTACAATCCAGGACAGCGCGTTGTCGTCCGTCTCAACAATTTAATATTATACTAATCAATATTCCGAGCATGATGTTAATGAATTTCGATATAAATCGGCGTGAGATAAACATGTTTTAGTATATAGGTACGCACACACGTCATTTAAGATAAATGGTCTATTGATTGTAAATGCAGTCGTAGCTTGTATAATGCTATGATTCAAGACCAGATCGATCATTGATCAAGGTAAATAAATACCAAAACGCGATAAACGTATACAATTTAATATTATAATATTTATATGCATTTGAAAATACGGTGGATTTTATAGTTTTTATCATAATATAATATAAAGTTACCAGCGTATAACGCACATGAATATTATGCTCCATCGGCTCGTTAGGACTTCGATTTCTTGAAACCAATTAAAAAAATATACCTACGTCATAATTGAATTACATAACATATACTCTCTAGGTCTAGATTCAATCGTCTTCATCCCACGCGATGTAATTTTTTTCGACCTAAGTCCGTTATTGTTTTAATCGTCTGCGGATGTATTTAAATATTAAAGTGATCCGTGAGCATAATGATTTTCGGCGTTCGTCTTCCATTCGATGTTAGAAAATAATATTATCATAATAGCACGTCGCTTTAACAGTTGAGCACTCATTATAATGAAAATAATGACAATGCGACGTCGATAAGTGTCGATAAAAATAATAATAATAATAATATAATCTGTTGCTAAAATTATTACGATGCAGCTGCAACTGCCGACGACTTGTTGACTTTTATACCTTAAATCATCATTATTCTGTAAAAACACGTCTTATATAATTTCAACATATTATAGTTAATAAGAGAGAGTCTGTTCGCGGTGTAACCTAATTATTAGAAAAACCCTATTGTGTTAAATTCCAATATAATATTGTAATATCAACAAAATATTATTCTTAAACGTCAGGTGTTTTTACGGCTTAACAAAATATATTATAATAATATTCTACTGTATGGATTTCTGAAAGGTAACACGCATTTTCGAAATACACGACTAAACCGCCGAAACTAAACTCCATTGTTTTTAAAACGTAATTATCACCGACTTACACCTATTGAATATTGTGTTTGTGTTACCGCGTTTACGTCGTGTAAACATTAAAAAAATGATATTACAATATAGGTAACTCCGATGTAAGTTAAACTCATTCGTTTAATTTATATTTAATTTTCATTAACTTAAGTATTATTGTGAAACGTACCTATATATTGTTTATTATAATACAGTTCGTTGATTTAGTATTTATTGTGTTTGATGATAGTATTACAAAGTGCATTACAGTCTTCATATAATTAATCACTCATCAGTGATTATTTTTTAAAACGTCTGTTTATAGGTATGACTAAAATATTATATTCACACTCTTGTTGTTTAATATGAAAATAAAAAAGTACTCCAATTTAACAATAACACCAACTTCAATGATACACTTGGCAAGTTTATCATCTATAAGTGCTTCTACACAGCTGATCAATATGAAAATAGTTATTTTTTAGGTTATGAGTGAGCTAATAAGGTACAAAACAGATGCCTATTATTACTATTGTTTTAGAGACTAATTACTACTATGGGCATTATATATTTCTTTTTAAACTTTTTTTCTTGTTTTTATCTTGGATGAACTTACTATATTTCTTGATTACATTTTTTGTATTAGCAAGCTTATGCTAAGTACCAGGTTGATATAAAAATATATTTTCTAATAAGAAGTGTGTATTATTTATCATATTTTGAACTTTTTAATACATTTTGAAAGTTTATCTAACTTTCTACATCAAACTTATAAGCATAAAAAATATCGTAGATATAGGATGAATTACAATTAAACTTACTTAAATACACTGTGTCGTATAAATTAATATAATATTATTTTTAATAAAAATGTATAAACCCATATGGCCATATACGGACAAATTGTAAATGTGATTAACAATAATTGGTTTAAAGTTTTAAACTAATAACTATTATTTATCAATATTTTTCTAACATACTTCTCAATATAATATTTTTAAACAATAATAATATTTCTGTCAGTTAATCTGGTACGCTACCCATTTTTAAACATGGCGCAAACATTGAGATCTGAAAATTATTAATTATATGTGTATCAGTTTTGGTGACGCATGATAAATAATAATAATTAAAATAATAATGTTTTAAAGATTTTTAGATATTTTGTTAATGATTTTAAATATCAAACTATAAGCATTTAACTATTCAGATTTTCTATGGTATTAAACTATTCGGTAAATAGCTGCCTAGTAAGATTATTAGGTATAAACTTAAAAATACAATGTTTTTAAATTTAATATCTGTGTTACTTTTAATTGATTCTAATAAGACATCCAAAAAATATAATGTGGTTTACTTTAACTGAACTGGTATGGTAAACAAACCAAAAATTGTTTACGAAACTTTTAAATTGTTTATGTCAATTTATTACACTTCATTAAAATTATATTAAAATTAGTGTGCCAAATTTAACGGTGTAGATCGTCAATATTTTTTATTACTGACAAAACAAAATAGGAAATCGTATTGAACCGTCTGCGAATAAAAAAAAATATACGAAAACATAAAAAAGTCAAGTGCAAAACCTTTGGGATCAGTAATAAATAATGCATTCTATTGGATCGAGATTCAAGAATATACGTATATCTCATCCCACCATTTTACATTTTTGTATTATTTATAAACATTTAACATTTAAATGTCATTCAATTTTCACATGTTATTTTCAAATTTAATTTTTATAATTTAATAAAAATTACATTTAAATAATTAACAAAAGTAGTATACTAATATTAAATATGATACGCATACGAAACAATATTATTGGAGCATTTTTTTAACGTTTTATTTGAACGCAATAAGTTTCTTATATTACATAATGTTATCTATTTTAATAACAAATAATACATATTAAACATATCATTATATTAATAATTGTACTTGTGAGTATAGTTAAGACAATTGAATAACATTATTATAATGGGAGTGCGTATACATTTTCCTTTTATAATTTTGATTATAAAATAACCGACAAGACGAAATAGCTTATCATTTTAATCGTTCTTCAAGTTTTTAATGTTTACTACCTATCTTATTTTATAAAATTAATCGTACATAAGGAAAAACCTGAACCTCGTAATTGCCATAATTTATAAGTTTTCCCCTTAAAATATATAGTACCGAACAGGTAGCTTTAATCTGCATGTAATCGTTTGAAAAAAAAAAAACACGAAGCATAATTTTTTTTTTTTTTAGTGCCCATTTCATGGAGGGAAATAGTTAGCATTATCATAGGGAGATAGTGTGGTTTTCATGAGTTTAAAAACATCAATAATAATTAAAATTACCTGTGGTTTTTTCATCTCCGCGAATTTCGTATATTTTTGTATGACTTTTTCTTCGTCAGGCGTTGGTTCGATGTTTGAATACACGATGTCGTCAACCATATCTTGTAAATCTTCAGGTAAAAACCTGAAATCCGTAGTTCAATACATGTTATATCGAATTCCGTTTTTATCATATTTTGAGAGAAAAAAAAACACTAAAAACAAAATAGCCATTTTCACATCAGGTTTCCATAAAACTTAACGAATAGAATACATATTGCGTTTATATTATATTTTGTGGTACGTATTTTTAGAACTATAAAACAAATATATTTTCACATATTTAATACAAATTGCATATTATTATATTGACTTTCCACCGTTAGTGAAATGGCTGTATTTACTTTATTAATGGCAGAGCGTAAAAGTCATAATCTGGAATCGTAAAAACTCGTTCATTTCGTAATATTCCTTCGATTATCATTGCGCAAGCATCTTCAATTGGTAATTCTGGAAGTCTAATCAGTAAAATGTATTAATTATTATAAATGCATTTGACGCAAACGATAAAATCTTACTAGATCACATAGGTACCTTAATATTCGTCTTTTTGATTTGTCCGGACAGTTTGCGATAAAATATGGACAAACCGTTGTGGTAATTACGTCAGATTTCATTAATCTAAGTTCTTTAGTTAAACTTTCCATCATACCTGTCACAAAAAAAACGAGTACTAACAAGTCAAGAGTACAAGAAAAAAACAGAAATATCAAAATATACAAATATATATATATTTTAATTTCAGACATTATAAAAAATCATTCAAAAATATTTATTACCGCCTTCAATTTTAATTTTTTAAATCGCATAGTTTGTTTTAGTTATTCTCATCGAGCCACTCGATCTGATTGTTTTTCAATCATTAGATATGTGCGATATTTATGGCCTGTCTTAAAATACTGCTTTAAGACGAAAAGAACGCACGTGCTTACCGTTTAAAGCTGATTTTGTCGCAGAATAAGTGAAAAGTAAAGGCAGTCCTTTCAATGACGTCATCGACGATATTGTTACGATATGGCCACTGTTCCTTTCCAACATCGATGGAAGTATTTCCCTGATTACCTGTGAAAACAGCACCAAAGTTAACGGTGAGCGTGTGCGGGGTTTCCACACGTTCTGATGTTCAGTAAACAAAACGATAGGTGATATTTGTTTTCCGTTCAAGATTTTATTTTTCCCGCAAACAATAATCTTTCCATGGCGTTCTGAATAAACAATTTTTCGTAACTCGCCGGTCAAGAGAAACAAAAAGTTAAGCGAGCGCAGTCAAACGCACGTCATTGCGTTGTACAGAGCACAGGTTCTGAAACTCATTTTATCCACCACCCACTTTGAGAATCAATAATATTCTAGAGCCCCCAAAAATGTCTAAACTCACCGTCTCTAGACTGAGAGGTGTATTCAAGAAGGACGTGTGGGTCAGATGGCCCCCATTGGCCTTTTTTTAAAATTTTATAAAACAGTGTTCTAGAAGTGTTAGACCGCGTTACAAGGAAATATAAAAAAAAAATATCTGGGATTTTTGTTAACGTTTATTTCGTCACATCCAGCAGATGGCACACTATTACACTAATGACTAATTAACATTAATTCTCCGGGTTTTATACCAACCCCCCGGAGGCTACCGAAGCCGACGGAGGGAGCGGCGCTATAGCCCACTTTTAGAAAGACTGGTAAAGAGTAGTGCGCCTAACCGTAGAAGTAACGTGCTGTAATATAGTAAAACCATAGAGGTGCGTACCCAAATTTGGCCCAGTAAGTTCGTGTTGACTATTTCCGATATGACGTCGTCGGCTTCCGGATTGGTGAACAATGTCGTCTCGACCACGGCGGCATTGTTAACGAGAATGTCCACGGGACCCATTTGATCTCTCACGGCCGCGTGCATCATCATTACCTGCTCCTTGTCGGTAATATTCACTTTAAATCCCACCGCTTGGCCACCTTCCGCCTTGATCCGATCGACCGTTTCATTATTGCCCACTTCGTCTTTATCAACGCACACAATTTTCGCCCCCAACCTGTGAAATTGTATGGCCAGTTCACGGCCGTTTCCCCGGGCGGTCCCTGTAATCTAGAACGTAAATTATAGGCACCGCTGCTCGGTATTATTTCTGAATACATTTATAGTAATATTATTATAACATCGTCCCAAACGATATAATATGTAGTAGGTACGTAGTATCATTATTAAACGAAATAACAAGAAATTAACCACTAAGCTTGTTGTTTAGTAGAGACAACGAAAAGAGTATATTATTATAAAACTCTAAACATTTTTCTCTTGTAGTATGTTTTTATTTTTATTTTCTTATTAAAATTAAGAAACCAAACGTTGCGAATTGTTTGCTATTATTATGACACATTTATTATGTTAGAATAGTATTTCTTGAATAAAAATAATAACTGCTGTTTTGAATATTATATACTTATGATATAAAAATATAAAATAAATGGACGAATCCCACTTATGGCTGAGGTGGGTGTCCTACGTTATGATTTTTGTAAAATGAAAAAAATCATCACTTTCAACAAATTATTCTGGAGTACTTTGGTTTTAAATAAGCAGGCATAAGCTACTTAATTTCTTAAAAGATTCTTTGTAGTTTTTTCTTTATACAAAAAAAATAAATCAAATGAAAAAATTACTTTTTGATAGTTTCACACAGACTCGATTTTTAATAAACAGTTATTACTATTTTAAAATGTAAAATTCATCATTGTAAAACAAATATTTTTTACGTTTATCTGAATCTAAAGTCGATTATTGAAAATTACACATAATATGCACACACTTGGGTTTAGCTAGTTATTTCATTTTTGGAACCAAGTGTACATATTAAAATAATATAACAACTGTTATTAGATTTGTTTTTTTATTAATTAAAAATATTCTATATTTTCCGTTTGGATTTAAAAATCGGAAGCTGTTAAAACTCACAAATAATTTTTGCAATGGTGGTGATCTGTATATTTTGTGCATTGAAATGTGATATTGATTATATTTACATACCAAAATTAATTTTCCTTCGACATTTTTCGGCTCTGGTGGAAAATAAACATACGAAATCGTTGATCCAATAATTTTTGGAATGCCGCATAGTACAACTAACAGCATTTCAAAGACAAACTTAATTGGTTCCGAAGGTATATCGTACTCATTAAAAAAAATACTTAAAAATGTTAAAACAAAACCCATTTTTATTCAGTTTAAAGTATCAAATAAATTGAGGCAAATTCACTACATTCAATCTGTAATACTACAACTGAGATAATGAGACTAAACAAAAACTGAATGTTGTCACTTGTGTCACGTTGTTAGTGTTCGGTTGGAAAAAATGAATAAAAACGACAGTAAACATATAACTTGCAATTAAAACGTAAAGTTTAAAGTTTTGTGTTTTTTTTGCAAAAGTTTCAACCAGAAATATATCCCTTTTTATGATAGTTAAAAACTTATTGAAATATTTTATTTTTATTGTTTGTAGTTTTTACTTATTTCAATTTCACAGCACAAAATGTATAATTTAAAATGAACACAGTGAACACTATGTTAACGTTTCGAAACAGTAAAATTAATATTCTGACACCAAATTGTTACTTCTCATCATACATATTATATAGCACGTTAGTATCATATTATGGTAGCTTAAATTTATTCTTAAGTTATTCACAAAACTTATTTGTGCGTGTCAACAATCATTGAACATATAATTATTATCATACTGTTAGCTGACGAAAATTAAATAGTGGGTCTACCGTGTTTTTTTTCTAGTGTCTGTCATCACATCTGGGTCAGAAAAATAATTATTAATTACGATTTGCAATTTTGTAAGTAGCTTCTAATAAATTTATTTAGTACTTTGTGAGGCCGAAAATAGAACATTTTCAAAAAAAAACGTAATATGTTAAACGGCGATATTTATGTGGCATTAGTATTCGATAGAAGAACTTGACTTTTTCACAGTAATATTATTAATGATACTAACGATTTATAAGCATGCAGTTATTTTACAAAATATTTGTACTCTTTTGGTCAATTTACTGACGTTTAAAATTTTACATTTATGTCGAAGAAAAAATGTCTGAGAGTTAACTATATGGGAAAATATGTAACAAAATATTTTTCATAAGTTTTAACTATAGAAATTAAAAAATGTCGAAAATACAGTCACAACTTTTTTTTATAAGCGTTTAGTGTTCTAATTTTGATGCAATTCATTAAAAATGTTAAGCATAAAGCTACAACAATATAAACAAATTTATTATAAACACCGTTAGAAATGTATGCGTATACACCATCTCCTGCCTAAATCGATTTATTTTACAATTGTTTTATCATTTAATACATGGTACACTTGGTGCGAATGGCGGCGAATGTCCCCTCTGACATTTTAAAAATGTCCTACTTCTCCAAAAACTGTCGTGGGGGGGGGGGGAATTTCCGGGGGGAAATTGTCCGGTTACCACTTGGTGCATACTTTACTTTACTGCTAGCACATTGGTTTTAGTTAACTTTTAATTTTCTAAATTTAAAAATTATTTATTTTCTTATGGAGTTATGAATATGAGATTGAACTTACTTATGTTTGCCCATGTAATTCTTTTATGAAGCTTTTCTAATTTTCCAACTGTAATGATAATATAGGTAATACGAAAAAAATTGTAATTTTAGTTGTAAAATCAATAATAGAAAGTTAAATATTATTCAGTTTATGAATTGATGAATATCATAATATTATTAGAGACAATCCCTAAATACATTTTGAATATTTATTTACAATTGATGCTTGTTGATATTTTTGTTAAATATCACTGAAATAGATATTAATTATAACTATAGTGATATATTTTTTATTACAACAATAATCAAGTATAAGTTTAACTTAATAGGTGACTTGGAGGTATTGTCAGCTGGACCACCACCTGGTACATTTTTAATTAGACACTCTTTATTTTAGTCTCATTTTGTCGTGGTAACTACTAGTAATGTAACAAAATATTAAATACACAGGTGTTTTATAGTTTGAATATTCTATTTAATTAAAACTCTGCAACAATATTATTGTTTAAATTTTAGATATTATAGAATATCATATATAATACCACAAATATTACAACAGTTTATGTTTAAATAAATAAGGTACCAGAGAAAATTCTAAATTATTTTCATCAACTACGTTTATTCTTATCTTTTGGTGAACATAAATAATGTGTTTTTATTCAATAGTTTAAAAATATAAGCAATAAAAATATGTTTTGGGGAGCACCTAGTGCCTTTCCGTTTTACCAATAATATCACAGTTTTTGAAACAGTTTAATATTTGAAATTCATGGTCTTTTTTTCATTTTTCCATTAAATATAATATTATAGTAGTTAGATTTTGAAAACTTTGCTCGTTTTATCAGCTGTCAATTAAATCACCATTTAACCTGATCTAGAACTAATCTAGATTATAATTTAAACTTTGGTAAAATATAATCGGTTATGTCAATGCAATTTATCAGTTTTTCACAGCTATATAACTTATTTACAACTGTCAAGCAAAATTTTAAACTTTATTATCATTATAAGAATGTTAATATTTGATGTGATACCTACATCAAATTAATATTTCTTAAAAAATATTTTAACAATGGAAAACTCTTTGGTGTCAATTTTATTTAAATAATTTATTTACAGTCACAAGTCGGAAAATAATATAATATGTATGGACTTAAACGAAATCTCAAAATAGACTTTATGTAGGTAGGTAATTAATTATCGAAATGAAAACTCGTTCGAATAAACAATAGCTGTGTAGAATCGACTGTAGTCGGAGTCGATTCTATTTGATTTCAATTATAACTGAAACATTGAACTTTTGGGTAGTATAATGAAATACACTATGTACAGTAACAGAGATGTATAGGTTTATTGTTTTTATTTTTTTAACATTAATTTGTGATCGTTATCAATCTATTTCATTTATAAGTTCTTGAACTAAATGGTTCAAATGTGATCTACAATTTGACATGACGGTACGCATAACTTACAATTTACGTGCATGTTGGTTAATTAGGTACCGTATTAGTAGCTTTTCAGCATAATAGTATAATTTTAAATTATTTGAATATAACTTATTGATTGTATATTATTGTATATAATAGTACCTATTAATTGAGATTGTGTAATTTACGTCAGTAATATTTCAATTTATTTAATTTTTAGAATTTTGCACAGTTTGAAGTATACATATATTACAATATGTAATATTTTAGTTTTTCTAGGTTGTAATGACTTTTGTTATCTAATGAATATCGCATTATGAGCTACGGATTAGACTACCGGGCCTCAAAACGAGAGTTTCAATGGGACCCTAGAATTCTTGTTTTTCGAGAAATAAAATAAATAGTAATAATATTTTTTTTTGTAATTTACTTATAAAGTTGAAACCTCGATAACAGAGCCATTGGCTTGTATTACACACTTAAATTACTTAAACTAAATCTTATAATTTAATATCTTTCATAAATAATACACTTAGTTACATTTAATGTTCATATTAGGTACGAAATTTTTTTTTCTATATTCGAGTTATTAAAGTCGATAAATATAAAATAACTGCATGGTCAGAAAAAATGTATTTGTCCTTATTTTTCTCAAGTTCTGTTATAAACATGTCTATACATAATCACCATCATAATAATTAATGTGCAATAATAATAAATATAAACAATAAAAGTATAAATAAGTAACGGCAAAACAATTTCACCAATACCAGTGAAAAACACCAATTATCTACGTTTATTAAAATTGTAAATACTACATTTTAAAGATAATTGTTTTACAATTATATCCAAAACCAATTGCATAAAATATTATCTCTGACATAATACCATCATAATGTAGTAAATAATATTATTACTGTTATACATTTTAAATTCTTAAAAAAGCATGATACTACAACCAAAGTTTGTAACTTCACATTTTACGTACCTATTTGCTTATAGTTTCATAAAAATAAACAAAAATGTTTGCTCTTAACCAGTGCTGTAAATTGTAATAGCAATTATAACTAGAATAATACAGTTATAATATAATAAATTACAATAATTACAAAGACTTAGTTTCTCTCTGATATTTCTTCAATGTATCGTAGTCACTTTTACAGTAGTTATAAGAAGCTCCAAATAGTTTTTGCATCTGATATTGGGATTTGCTCGGTAAAATTCTGAAGTAAATAACACAAATATTGTTACGATATTGTTCTTAAGTTATTTGTTTATTTTTGTCATAGATTAGGCAATGTTAGTGTCTTATAACAAAAATTATTATTGAAAGTGAAAATTATTTAATTGAATTTAAAATTATTACTTGTAAAACATAATTGCCAGAAACAAATATCCAGGTATTGTAAACATTTTTTTGTTTTTCAATATTCCATCCACCGTGCTATCACATATTACTTTAAGAGGAATAACTGGAAAGCTTAAGAAAAAACATTTTCAATATTTAAAATAAATAAAATAAAAGTAATATATTTTATGCAACTATTATAATAGGTGTCTGTATAATCTCAACATTTATCATCTTTGTACGATGAAGATATAGATAAGGGTATAAGTAAAATGGTTTGAATGTTTAAATATTAAAAGTAGTGAATAGATCTTGTGTCAAATAAAAACAAAATAAATAAAAGTTAGGAGTTCATTACATTATTATTGGATAGTTTTATAAGATTAATGTTATGTGTGATGTCAATGGTTTAAGCTAATTAATTTATATCAAACTATATTAATATGAAATAAATCAATAAAAGTAGTTCTGATAACCTTAAGTAAAATAGTACAATATATAATATTTAATTGTGTAAAAACCTGATACTAATATTCTTCGTAATTTCTTCATTTGAATCCATGAAGTATGGACACACCGTAGTTAGGACAACCTTTGAATTTAGCATATTTAGTTCTTGGTCTAAAGCTTCCATCATACCTTCAATAAATGGTTGTTAAAAGTAAAAATCAAATTTTATGTTTTTAATATATTTTATGAGAATATTTATGAAAAACAACATACAAAAAGTATTTAAGTCCATGATATACAATAAGAAATTAATTCAAAAGGTTTGTATAAAAACTACATACTATGTAGTTATTTTAACAGTGAACACTAAATAATCATACCTAGCCACAAAAATAATAAAGATTTAAAAAAACATTTTTCACATAATTTCAAGTCATAACAAAACCGAATCGTTGAAAAATTATATTTCTATTGTTTTTTTTAAGTGTTTACTTTTTTGAATGATAGCACACATTTTTAGTTTCATATTCCGAAATTAAAATTATTTTTACTAGTACAACCCTTTGATTTTGAATTAATAAACGAGTAAGTAATTAATTGATTAAAAGCATTTAAGTTGGGTTTAGCGACATCTTTGGCACCTACAAAATGATGACTTTCAAAATGTATTCTGTCATTGAGAATCCAAAAAAAACTTGAAAATGTATAGAGATATAATATTTCCGAAAACGCTAATACTTTTCAAGATAATGCATGTTTACTGTAAAGGTTGGGGTAGGTTAGGTTTTACTAACTACACAGTAAAAATTATAATGCACTTTAACGTTTTTATTTGCTTTAAATTATTACATATTGGCCGTAATGTTTAATCAATATTAATGCCATGTCGGTGCATTGTTTGTTAAGTCTCTATGGTCTATGTAAAACATGGACAACATCCATTTGTCCAAATATTATCTAAAAACATTTTAATATATATTTGAATCAACAAATAAAAATTAAATATTGAATCAAGTGTTAAAAAAATACTAGATCGATATGTCAAACCTTCAAAAATATTATTCTCCACAATTTTCGAAGCAGCTGATTTTGATCTAAGATACCTTATAAAGTTATAAATCATAAAAAAACCATTTTATACGAACGCGTCAAGTCTACACTGTGTGAGGGTGTGAGAGTAAACAAATAGTGCACAGTCATTCTCTTAAAAATCATTTAAAATAAGAAATTATTATAGTTGGACATTTTTTATACCGTTCCTCGTGTTTATTTTAAGTCGTAAAAGTAAAGAGATTAAAAAAAAAATCTAGTTAAGTTTATAAAAAAATAATTCACCTGTAACGCCCCACTTCGAAGCAGTATATGCGGACAGCGAATGAGTTCCTACCATTGATATCAATGACGAAATTGATACAATGTGTCCACTATTTCTGTTCAACATCGATGGGAGTATCTCTTTATTCATCTAAACGAATAAAATACAAAATTTTATGGAAAAAATTGTCTATGTTAAAAACAATTGATGATCGACCGGAATACATTTAATTAAAGCCTGATATAAAAGTTTGGCCTCCAAATTCAGTTGTTGCTTACATACCCAAAACTGTCCCAGTACGTTGACGTCAATTATTTCTCGGACTAGTTCATCTGTTTTGGAATTTACGTAAATATTTGTCCTTACTACAGCTGCGTTGTTTACCAATATATCTACTGGACCTAAGTCATTTTTTACAGCTTCGTGCATCGATCTGATTTTTTCTCGATCGGTAATATCCAAAGTGAAAGCTCTGACTGTGCCACCCTCTCCACGGATCATTTCGGATGTCATTTCGTTACCCTCTTCGTCGATGTCAACGCATACGATCGATGCACCGAGTCTATGAAAAGCCAAAGAAAGTTCACGACCAAGGCCTCTAGCAGAGCCAGTTATCTGAATGTAAAAATGTGGAATAACCAATACGATTAAATTAGATTAAACTTATTAAACTTTTGAATATAATGAATTTATGATATTATTGTATTTTACCGATTCTATTTATTGGCATTAATATTGTTTACATTTAGAAATTAAATTAAATTTGAACGTTTTTAAACCACAAAGTAAACGATACATTATTATGTTGATTAATACCATGAAAATTTACGTTTATTTCTTATGATGGTTATAGAACGATAGTCAATTACTATATTAAGTACACATATTAACACCTCTAATGGATATTTGACACTCAACCAATAATATTTTTTTCTAATGTAAACTAATAGCTATTTTAAGTATTAAATTGAATCTATTTTTAGAATCTGAATGGAGATATAAATCTATTGATTTTACAATGATGAGTGTTTAAAAAAAAAAATTTTTTGTTTAAGACATCACATTTTGAGACAGTAAAAATGCTTTGAATTTCAACTTTAGCATCTTTTCTGGTAGAAAAATAAAATTAGTTATGCTAATTGGGTAGTCAAACAATTTCTAGGAGTTTTCAAAAGGATTGAGAAAAATAAATAAATGTTAATTTTTTTAACCAAAACCAGTTTCCAACAAAATCGATTTTGCTTAATGGTGTAACTCTTAAAAAGTAACCATAACTACATTACATTTTCAGCGAATGTTTATATTACAATTTTCTATACCTACACGGCTACACCATGACCCTTTAAATAAAAACTTATAAAAGTAGAAACTTTTTTAATGCCTTTAAATAGTTCAAAAATAGTCAAAATATTTTGTCTCTATTTGAGCAATTAATAGGCATAAGACAATTTTGATTTAAAATAGTTTTTATTTAACCATTGTCGATAAAAAAATGTTCACTCCGTCAAAAAACTTGAAAATGTAATTTTAGAAGGTTATATTATTACAGCTTATGCACTCAATGACATTACTTTTTTCGTCAAAAATTAATTTAACTTACTAAAATCTAATATTGAAATAAATTACAATAATATCGTAACATATTTACTTAGTATCTAATATAGGCTGGCTGGATCGTTTTTTGTATACAATGATTTTATATCATTGAATTCAAATTTAACATATCCGTTACAGTGACTTTTCTAGACAACTATCTATAATTGTACAATGGAGAAATACCCACTTGGATTTAGAATAATTATAATAATAATAATGGATAATGCTTACCAAAATGACTTTTCCACGGACATCTTTTCTTGTTTGCATTAAACATTTAATACCAGCCCATATATAATTTGGTAACAAAAGTACGAAGAATATGAATAACGACAAAAAAATTTTTACGGGATCTCGTGGAATCAAATAGCTTTTGGTGGCAATAGATTTTTCATAGTTGACATTTTCCATTTTGAAATATTAGAATATTATTGGATGTATGCAATTGTAGACAGTAGATGTTGTCATAAGAAAAGCTAAGTAGAAACAAAGATAATGTTCCTCTCAAACATTTAACAAAACTATCTACTGGTGTAGAATAAGTGAAACGCTATTGCTATATATATAACACGCAATTAATGCGACCTAAGTAAAAAAACAGTTATTATTTAAAATACAAGTGTAAGCTAAGTTTTAAATTTTCTTTTAATTTCCAATGAAAACTTTTCATGCTAAATCACGTCTTGTCTATCATTAGTACAACATACATTGTGTAAGTATAACACCAGAATTTATAAGGTTTATAATTATTTATATAATAATATATTGATTTTACTAGATGATGATGTAAAGACAGAAAATTAAAAAATGTGAACCATTATGATATTGGCAACCACAAAAACTATAATTAAATATTTCGATAAAATATATTTCGGTAACTAAATTGTAAGATATTAACTTTTTTAAGTAAAATAAATAAAAATCTTGTGTACAACAAAATATATCAGTAAGTAAAAATCATATCGTAGTGTTTTTATTATTAATAAAACAATTTTTTTTTTAGGCTTTAAACTTTAAAATATATATAAGAACACCTAAATCAAGAATTCAAAAAATAAAAACAAACTATATGTTTATAATTATTTTGCCAACACAAATTTTCATATTGCTGTTGAATTATTTGAATGAATTATTTATATAATATTGATTTAGTGTAATGTATACGCGAAAAAACTGTCATTGAAAAACATGATATTTATATGATGTATTTGTACTTTTTTAATGTTAAATTGAATTAGGTCCATGAGACAATTTTTGATTTGAGTAAGTATAAGAATTTATAAAAAGACTAAAACTTAATGTGTTTTTGATAATAGTATAAACATTCATAATAATATGACATTTTGTGATAAGTTTGAGAAAATGTAAACAACTTCGCTCAATTTTACGGATCAACCACGAAGCTTTAATTGAACTATTATTAAGTGTATAGGTAACTTATTTATTTATGAACCAAAATGTCGTTCACTCCATAAACTGTAAGCTAACCAACCTTCACCAGAAACCACTAAATTGATTTCTATTTGTTTTTGACCCTAGAATACTTACATAGTTATTATTAATTTATCAGTGTCCAAACAATCGTTAGTGTCAACGTCTAAAATTACTTAACGTTTTAATGATTAAAAATAACAATATTTCATATTTTTTTGTATTGAGGTGTAAAGTAATGCATTAATAATAAATAATTGTGACGAACGGTGGGGGCCAACCGAATGCCTCGCTCTTGTGACGTCACAATCTCTTAAATTATTTTCAAATAATGAGGAGGGTCAGTGGCAATGTTCACCAACTTGCTCGCAAAATGAAGAGATAACGGAATTCAAAACAAATAAATAATTAAGGAAAAAAGAGGTTAGTTGGCGTATCAAATATTCAATTTGAAAAAATAAAATAAAACCATTCAATCAGTCACTTATGTAACACAATTAGTATACACTTAATACAAGGGTATTGTTTCACGGTCTTAAACGCTTAATGAGTTCAGGGAGAGAGATGAGCAAATCGATTATTTTTACGGGGAAGGAGCTGGTCGTTGACAATGAAATGGGATAAAACTGTCCAAACTCGCGACTGCATCCATGACATCGTTAATTTATTGATATATACGTATCATAGATGGACAGGCGTAACTATTGAATGTTGTCTGGTTCCAAGGTGTCTTGACATATTACCAAGAACAATAAAATGGCTGGTCGTCAAACGAGATCAACGCCGGGTTATTAGCAATCACTTTATATGGTTGACTAGACATAATAATATTTTATGATGTCGAAACAATTATAATCATATTTATGTGAACAGTAACCGCACAGTCGTCGGTTTTAGAAGAAAAAACTATATGATGTCAACGACTTTGAGTATACAAATGATTAACTATTTAATTTATTAAACACTAACTTATTAATTGAGATTCATTTTGCAATCATACTGAGTACAAAATTAGAGTGGGTTTAATGAGTTCGCGAGAGTAACGCACCGAGAAATCAAATAAGGGAACAAAATTGTGTAGGTCGGATCAAGCATGTACGACGGAGAATAACAATGGAAACTTCAATATTTGAAATACCGAATTTGTGGTGATGGCCATTAGGGAGAGTGCAAATGAAATGTTCGGTTTAATAAAGTTGTATAGGAATCGTAATGGAAATGATCAAAACGTTCTCAGTGTGGGAAACATTTTTATCTGACAGCTGATGTTACTTGTACAAAGAAACGGATTTTAGGAACACTTATAAATTACGATATTTTAAGAATAATTGTAGAATTCGAAATCGTTTTTGTCGGTACATCGATTTAACTTTATAAGCAAGTAGGTATATATGAGTGGTACCCAATCGACTATAGACTATTGTTTTGTAATACATAATATTTAAAAAATGTGCTGTTTGATTTAAAAAAAAAAAAAGTTAAATACAAACGGTGGTTGAACTAATTATGCAACTTTCCGTTGGCATATCTTCCAATGAACTACAACTCCTTATGTCGATTTATCTCAGCACAAAATAAACTTGAACAACAGTCTAAATAATCATAACGATATTACAATTGTATTTAAAATTGCCATAACCACTTAATATCCGACAAATGATATTCATAATATTAAATCCTATCGTATCATGATAAATTGCAATGTTTTTATACTTAATGAAATGAAATTATTATTTTTCTCGTCTATACGTTATTATTTTACAGAGCAGTGCTTTTATTTTTATTTTTTTTTGAATCTTCAACTCATACAAATATAATGTGTTTATCAGCAATTTTACATTCAATTTGACGTAATAACTGAATTCAGGTACCCGCTGATTTTCAAACGACTATAGAATTTATCAAATACATATTTGTTTTAATAATGAATACCCAGTGAATGACCTCGTGGTTGAGGCCAACAATATACATATTATGTGTCTTATGATAGGTATTACTTTAAGGATTTAAAGCCATTAAAAAATGTTCATGCAATAATTTATACCACGGATTTGTAAATACTAAGTGGATCTTTTGTTATTTTTGTTATTAAACTTAAGTTCCGTATGGCCATGTTGACTTTGTCAGTGCTGAAATCACATTTTATTTAAGTAGGTAGGTACTCCGCGACATAATATACTGAGCAAATGAGCGAAAGCCTCGGATTGCGAATCGTGAATATTTATTATTTATGACTGAAATGCAAAATAAATATAATATAATATAGTTATAATGAATAAGTAAATAAAATCTTTCTGAACATTTTTTTTTTAAATGTATGATCAGAAACTTATTAGGTTCAGAAAATTAAAAAAAAAATTGAGTACAGGGAATTGATTTAAAGTTGTTACTACATAATAATATCAAATAACGAATTATAAAAATATTGATATCTATTATAGTAGTTATGAGATCAACTAAAACTTTACACTTTTGGCCAAAAATAACACTTGTTCGCTTATAGTAGTGATAGAATATTAGGTCGGTTTTCAGAAGATAAGTCTGATATACGAGAGATCTTCATTTGTTGTCATTATAACTACGCACACGCGAATGCGATACTCACGCGTGACATAGAATATAATATTGTCTGTAATTTTGATTGTATGGAAAATGAAAGGTTTAAATTTACTTAAAATATGTGACAACACACAATGTCACATAGGTACGTATAATTTGCTGTAAATGTATATTGCAGTATTTGAAAGGCTTACACTAAAACATACGTAGTTTCTCATAAAGATTTCTAGGTACAAATCTCAGCAGCTACGTGATAATGAGAAATAGATAAATAAATTCATATAGCTTTTTCATACATACATCATCAAGAATGTCTTAAACTGTGCAAACGTTTTTCATTTTGATTTGCAGAACGCCTTAAAAATAGTCGTTACAAGTCATTCCAGCTACCAACAAGATGCTGTAGGTTATTTAGAAAAGGGCATATTTAGTAGTTGATTTACCACTTCCGTTATTTATATTAGTTGTTATTGTTTTGAGGAAATTCTGGACTTACGGTTTTATTATATTGTATATGCTTGGATCAACTGCATTAAAAATACTAAAAATCGCCTGTTCAAAACACCATCAATGTGCCCCCCAAAAAAGAAAAGTTTTGACACAAATATAATGTTCTTAATAACCATCAATAGACAATTTGAAACGAAAACTAAAAAAAAAAAAACAATCATAAAAACAAATATACGACATCCTACATAATATGTTATCCGTCGGCTAGTAATTTTATTTAAATTGTCCAAATAATTTAAATTCTTGATTTATTTCTTAACGAATTACGCCATTTTTGAAAATCATAAATTTTAAATAAATTTCGAAAACAACAATCATCTAACTACTGACACTAATTTAAATATAAATTATTAATTTAATAACAATAAGTCAATCAGACACTAGTCTTATCGTTTATATTTATTTAATATTAATTCGTCGCCAGGTTCTCCTAGAATATTGACTCGAACTATGTTGTTGAAGAGCATTTGCAAGTTGTCCGGTAACAGCCTGGAAGAAAATAACAAAATAATGCATTACTGAGTTTGTTTTTTTCTCTCGTGTAATATAGATCGTCTTAGAAGAACGTTTGACAATGAAATTTAAGTTTTTATCTTACCTAATTATTCCCGTCATTGTCAGCATGTGGCCGGGAACCGAGAATATCCTCTGTTCTTCCAGTATCCCTTTCATCATTTGACTACCGGCTACGTGAGTAGGTATTTCGGGCAGTCTAAGTACAAACGTTCGTCGGCCATTAATAAACAATATTTAATATTATTCTTTAACGTAAAACACTAAAAAGTTATGTTCTCGTATATTAGATAGGCATCTGGTTTATACCTGATATCTAAAAACGAAGTCACTTTCGGGTTGGTTTCCACAAAATAAGGCAATATAGTCGTGGTCTTGACGTCAGTGTTGAACCGTTTCAACTCGTTGTGCAAACATTCCATCATACCTGCGTACATCGTGTGCAAACGTCAATTATATTTTTTACTTTTTATGCTCCTTATAAAAAGTGCTGGCAGATAGCCCCCGAATGGCAAACATTATTAAAAACAATTGTTTTAACATTAATATACACAGCAGAATGGATGAATTGTAAAATGAATAAAGTGTCTTTTTATTGTTTTCGACTTTTTGATTATTGAGGATACAATATTATGATCGGCCGTCCAGAATCAACTTAGAATGAATAGAAATAAAACCGAGATACATTGTTTTTGAATTCCTTATTTTTTTTTATCAACGATATTACCCACATTGTAGTGTAAAAGTTACAGAATAAAAAAATCGGGTAAATGGATGTCGCTGTTCTGTACATTATAGTTGTCTAGGAGGTCGCTGTAATGCCCCCCCTCCCCCGGGCGGTATTTCGTGATTTTTTAGAATTTTATCAAAATTCTAAGTTTAAACTCACATAAAAAACTATTGTGAATTTACGCTCAACTTTTTTTTAAATTTCTACTGACAGAAATACTTACGAAGAACCTTGTATTACATTTATTACAATTTTTTTGACAGAGAGCAACATTTTTTATCGACATGAATTTAAAAAAATAATAATAATAATCGAAAAATTCATATGCCTATAAATAGTTAAACACAAGTCAAAATATTTTAAAAATTTCATGATCTATAGAAAATGCAAACACAAATATTTAGTAAAAATTTCACGTATCTACGATAAAATTGTTTAGAGTTACACAAAAAACCAAAATCGATTTTTTCGAAAACTGGTTTTGCGTACAAATTCTGGATTTTTCTCAATTATTTGTTTGTTTTTCCTGTTGCTTTTGAAAACTATTGCTAATTTATAATGTTGACCTGATGAGTACACCAACTAGATTCATTTTGTTACCAGAAAAGTTGTTGTCGGAGAAAATCGAAGCACTTTTACTGCAAGAAACAGTGATGACAGAAACGAAAAAAAAATTAATTAATAAATATAAAAACACACATAATTGTCAATTCAATACATTGATCGCTCGGAATCTAAAAAAACATTTTTGTCTTGACTAGGTATTTAATTATTTGAACAGCCGACGCGTGCCTACAAAGTTTTTCGATTATTGACATTTTGAAATCATTCGAATTACACAGTGAAACTGTAATAATAGTTCTAGTAATATTTACCATTTATGCCCCATTTGGTAAGTGTGTACGTGGAAATATTAGCTACACCGGCCATCGAAGACATCGACGACATGGCTACGATGTGTCCATGGTTTCTCTCCAACATCGATGGAAGAATTTCTCTTTTCATCTGCGTGGAAAATTAACAATAACGACAAATGATTATTATTACATCGATCGCGATCGGATTTCCGTATTATTTTATGGACATTTATCGTATAAACTTTACCGAGTTAAACTGCTGAACGCATTTTATTGCATCGTAATAATTTATTTGAACAGGGGTTGGGGTTTTTGAGCTGTCATTTTTTTTTTCAGGTGGTCATAACACGCGGTTCCTCTAGTGGAAAATGTATCTCATACTGATTATATTTTAATGCCACTTTTAGTTTGCATTTTCTTTTTAAAATTTTACAAAATACTAAAAACAAATTGTTCGTGGGTTTTAATGACATTTTTCAACTTAATAGCATTTAATTAATGAAATATTGGTTGCTTAGCTAGACATCTGACAGAAATAGAAATATTACAGTACAATATATTTTTACTGTCGTGAAAAAAATCATATTGGTATTATAGGTACACCGTAGCTTATAAGGGGGAACGAGTTTGTCTTCAGTGACTTCAGCCTTGCCTACACGGCCGACCAGCTGGTCACACATGCACACATCATTTTTCTCTAACTGTTGTTAGCCTACGTGTCAATAGTTATTCGCTTTTAAAATGTAAATTGCTACTTAAAGTCTGTTTTTCATTTAGTGTTACGATATTGGTCTTTAGAATATTTCATCAAATCAGAATCAGCAAAAAAATTCACTATTAGTTCATTTACTAAAATGTATTTTTCAATTATGATTTCAGATTTAAAAGTCAGAAGACCTAACTCTACATTTAAGCATTATTATTTTATAATAGAATATATAATATTTTTTTCTAATTTTAAGGTTTAAGCTATACATTTTACCGAGTGGTTTTAGGGATTTTCTTAGTTTTTTTTAGCATATTCTTACTAGACGTTAAACATCAAAAGCATTTTTTCATATTATATAGTTGCCTAGCTACAGTGTATTTATTAACCTGCAACGAATATCTAAAAGAGTTCAACTGGTATAACTCACCCAAATATGTGCCATTAGGTTGACATTGACCTGGTCCGTGATGAATTGATCCTTCGCTGGATCGATGTATAAATGTCCCCATACAATTCCTGCGTTGTTGATGAGTATATCAACCGGGCCTAAATCGGCTCTCACCTTTTTGTGCAGATCTTTGATCTGTTCCTTTTTCGAAACGTCACATTTGTAGCTAATGGCAACGCCCCCGCTATCTTTAATTATTTGAGCCGTTTCATAGTTGCCCATTTCATCGATATCCACGCAAGCAACTTTTGCACCCAGTTTACCAAATCTAGTCGCAAGTTCACGTCCTAATCCCCGAGCAGCACCAGTGATCTAAAAAATATAATACATACAAATTAGTAATAAAAATTGTTTTTTTTAAATTTTAACTAGACAATTTTTCTTTTAATTTAGGTACACAGTTTTATACTTACAGTGAATAATATTACACAACTAATCATTGAGTTTGAATTAAATTGATTTTGTTAAGAAATAAAAAAGTAATCAACATAACAACACAAGATATCATTAGGACATTAGATATAGAACTAAAAGCTAACTTTAAAAGTCAGTTCACAATAGGTAGTTGCTTTTTTTTACAATCTCGAATATTCTACTTAATATTTTAGTGTAAGTAATCGACCTACCTAGATTTAACCTAGATCTAATCTAGATAATGTCTGTGTTAATAACCTAGTTACCTGCTGGTAATGTTATATTTCTCTAAATGTCTATATTATTTTTATTTAATGCTTTATAACGTATTTAGATACGGATTAAATGTGGTAATTAGATAAATATTATAATTTTCAATAATCTGTAAAAATAAAAACAACGTATTGTACTATTGCATTGAAAATGATTATTTATGTATCTTTAAAATATTTTATCAACATTTGATGTGATAAAACAATACAGTTACATAAAAATGTTGATATAGTTTATCTTCGTTGTTGTTGTTGTTGTTACGTTCGTGTATTTTACAATTGTAATAGATGTGACGAGGTATTTTTGCAAATATATACAAACATGATAACTTAAAAAATAACGATAGTATAAAACTTTCACTAAAACAAACAATAGCTTAGTAATTAAAATTAAAAATATTTTTTTTACCGTCAACATTTACAAATTATTTTATTCATACTTTGTTTCGCCGTATTACGGTTTCGTTTTCACAAAAATATGAAAAAATAACACACAACTACATGGTGTATTTTTCTGCAGTATTTATCTGTGTAACTTGTTATTTTAGATAAACTGTATATATAGTGTGCACAACAACCCTTAGCGATTTCCTCGCATATAACACGATCAGTCGTATTGTATTGCATTTAAATAAATAGACCGCCCGCGGGCTCGTTTTAGGTGTTCAAAAAATACATTCCTCATAATATTATGCACTGACGTATATATATATATGTGTGTATGGTAATAACGTAAAGACGTTTTTAAAAATATTTCTCACTGTCAAAGAGCAAAAATATAAGCTTGATCAAGATAACTGCTGCAGTCGTACATGGATAGGGTACCTTTTATTTGCATGAAATGCCTATGCTTTTTTTATTTAGGGTTATGTTTTTTGAAGCCCATTCATAATGGTCGAAACGTGCTTTGACGGCACACGAACAAATCAAATACAACACACACGATTCGTGCATATACATACACTATAGGTATACGATACACTGAAGCCGGTCTCATCTTCTGAAGATTTATAATATTTGAAATGTAATGCTTCAAATCGTATGAGGCGGCCTCAAGAGTGTTATGCAAATTCGTAATAGTATTATTAGAACGCTGATTTGTACGCACTAAAAAGTATCAAAATACGACATAAACTATAATACAATATAGGGTCAAAAGTGTGGAAATAGAAGAAAAATCTTTTAACTGTGTAATATATGGTGCAAAAATGTACGATTTGTATTCGATAATTATTTTTACTACCTGGCCTATAAATGTACTAGGTATTGAAAATAATTTTAAACAAACCAAAGAACTTATAATTATAATCATTACAGGTAACTAGTTAATAAGCAAAATTAATTTGTAATTTTATAATTTATGATGATTTCATCATTAAATGGTTATTTGCTTGACGACAAAATATCATTTTAAGTAATGATAAACAAGTTTATACATTTTTCTGTTCTATAATCGAACAATTTTGAATTTTATCAATATATACACAGATATGTAAGAACCATTAAATGTACAATGATATGGAAAAATAATTATACTACGATAATAAAGATTACCTACTGACAAAAATTCCAAAAAAGGGAAAAGAAAAAACATGCAATTGCGTAAGAATCCGCGCTCCAACTATTATACTAAACAACATATAATAATAGAAAAAAATGCAAATAACATCAACCTGTACAAAACCCTATAATAATGGCCTAGATGTCTATCTATTTAATGATCAATAAAAAAAAAAATTATATAATGAGGTTATGTGTCGTAACTGCTCAATACCTATTCACTTTACATTGAAATCGTTCACCTTGCTGATTATTTAATTTGATATATTCCAGATGTACACAAATATTGTTCTGCGGTAGGTGTGCGCGAATGACTTCTGATCAAATTCGGCGATCTATCCATACCCGGGCGATTTGTCGCATAACCGTTAAACATTTTATATTTTTAATATTATCTTCGAATAAAAATCAAAGTTGTAAAATGTTGTGATTCATTACAGGCGACTGTAGCGAGTAAGAAACTATTCAGATGTATACAGCACAAGTATTTTTTTTTTACACTAGACCATTAACATATTATAGTGTAGACCTACCTACGTCATGTATTTTATAATGCGTGTAATAACTAGATTTCTCACGGAAGAAAAAAAATATTTAGCTTTTAACATCCTGTTGACCTTTTCGTTGTGTTTCTTGATAAATCATAGACGGTGTAGTTTTCTAGGACTATTGCGATACGAATTACAATTCAATTTTGAGAAGAGTATTTTATTTTGGAGTATGAAATTATTAAAAAATGTGTATGCTGTCGTTCAGAAAGGAAATACATAACAATTGTAACTTGTATAGGATATCTTATTTTTTTCAAAAAGTTTGATTTGTCAAATGACTTCAAATGATGTAAAAAAACATATTATTTTCAAAAACGTATTTACTGGTTTATTTACTTTTCAGGGTAATGAGTATCTACCGTTAAAATACTCACTCAGTAAATTTTACATTATTGATTCGTGTCGAAAAACACAAAAACACTCGTCTTTCCCTGAAACTGTAACGTGGAAGTTAATCAAAAGTCTTATGTAAAATATACATTCCAATAATATTTGCATTGTGTATAGACTATATTGGTAAATTTTGGGCAACGAATTTATGACTTGAGGCAATGAAACTTTAACAGTTTCTGCGACAAGAACAGCGTGAGGGGATAATAATGATCGTGGGATGTAATTTTGGAACGTAAGAGCTTTTAAATTCAACGGAAAAATGTCGACTACCGACTGATCCTCGAACTGATCGATGGACGTACTTCACCTTGAGCCTATTATATGGGTATGCACATAATATATGTGCCAAGTGCCTACGATACAAATACGCGCGTAAATAATTATCCCACCGAGTGACCTTGAATTTTTTTTTTTTTTTGGTCTTTAGTTTTAATAACATAATAACAAATAATATCATATTTTTTTATTACGTCCATTCATGGTCAATGGCCGATGGCCGTGGCAATGAGCAATGTCAAAATACACTGGCTATACAATATTGCACATTATACACACACATACGTCGGCTATGCTTTGGTTTTATTTTAAATGCGTTTTGTGCACAGTTACACATCGTCGGCCGTCGTTGTGCATTGTTACTCGAGACATGGTCCGCGTTTCGCGACAGACGACAACAGACGATCCGATCGATGGCCGCCGAAATCGGCTGCGTTGTATTAGTCGCAGTTAGACGTAGTTACGACTGAGCGCACAACTCACCAACACGACTTGTCCCTTGACGCACTTCGGCTCGACTGGAATGAATTTTTTCAAAATCGCCCACAAAATTCCCGGCACCAGCAGCACGGCGAACACCGCCAATTGGAGGACCATCTTCAGCGGGTCGGCGGGCAACCGGTTGGGCGGCATGGCGCGTGCGGAAAAGAAAAACGAACGATTGCGATCCTTCGGCGGAGATGCGGCGAAAAACGTACGTGTCGCAGCGCACACGGACCACACTATAATAATGCGCGAGAACAATATCTGCGGTTATTTCGGTATGGACCTGAGTCGGGGTGGCGGTAACGGCTGTGAACAGCACCGGGAAACCTTGACGTGTGCAGATATGATTATTATTATTTCCTGGGAAAACGGGTTAACAGTATGATCACAGTCGGTACACATTATTACAATTATTATTATTATTATTATTATTTAATCGCCTTGAGCAGTGAACGACGTCGAAAATAGGTGAAAGTCATATCACAGTCGTCGTCGTATCACTGCATCATTGGCGATATGCCGATGCATACCATAAAAAACGTACCTACTATGGAACATCGTTTTTAAGTAGGTGCATACCTAGATTATGGTATCGTGTTATTGCATTATTATTGTGGAGTACCTATACAATATTATATAATATATATTATACGGAGTACCTCGAAATAGTCACGTTCGAATTGTGACACTTGCTCTCAACCGTTTTTCAAATTATGTCATATTATTGAAAATTATGCGAATCATTATTACTTCTGATAACCCGAGACTCCGTTGTAGTGCAAAATAATTATGCGACATCCCAGGCTGAACTCGCCTGTTTTCCGTAGGTAATAATTAATATTTAATCAGATCGGTGTAGACACGAAACTGCCAACAGCTGTAACTGCAAGCAATGCGTGGACCTAATTACCTACGATATTAGTTTTCCGGGGAAGAATTGCTTTATTTCCTTGCGGATATGTAAGTACGTTTTCTGGAGCTGAAGGTTTGATCGAGCACTATTGTTTAGTGTTTTTTTTTCTTTATCAATACAAAGACAAAATTACAACTCAACAAATTATTTATGTAGGCAATATAATATTTTAATAATATTTAATTTACTTGTTTATGGGAAGATGGCCGTCTATAACTGTATGTCTTCGAGTTCGCTCGTTGGTTTTGGTGAACGATGTCGACTTAACTGAAATGTCTCATATTAATATTGGCTTGAGTAATAATTTTTACGGTGACGACACGTGTCAAATGTGAATAAATTATGATGGTCAATTCTATAGTGTGTATTTAGTGTACAATTAATACTGTATAAGGTATTAAGGTGTAATGAACTGCAATCAAAAATGGTAAAACTATACATACATGATTTTGGTTCTTTGGCCATATATCGAAGCGTATACTTACGTATAATGATATTATATTCAGAACAAACCAATGAACCATATATTTTTAGTTTTTATTAATCTTGTTTGTCGAGGAATCCCAAATGGTTTTTATGATACACATTATTTTACTCAGCTTTATAGGATTTTACGCCGTCAAAACAACAGTAAAGTTGTGATAATAATATTATATTATTATTATTTTTATTGTACTTTGATATGTTTTTGTTCCAACTTTATAATATGTAATGCTGCAGGTAAATGCATGTACAAACTCCAATGTGAAATTGTCTCACAACTGTTATATCAACTAAAATTTGAAAAAAAAAAATCAAATAATAATGTTCGTTATGATAAAATCAAATACCTACCTACCTGAACAGTTATACAGTTGTCTGTATGAGACAATAACTACGCTTTTGTCTCACGCCCTCAGATGATTTACAAATATGCAACAATACCTCTTCAAATGATCAGTTTATTTTGTATTATTATTTTTATTCACCCCACAATAATAATAATAATAATAATAATAATAATAATAATAATAATAATAATAATAATAATAACAAGTTGTCTTTACGGTGAAATATTACTCATATTGTTTGCAATAATAATTATGAATGCATGTACTAACTGTTTATGTGTTGGTCTTTTTACAAAAGATTTAAAATTTTAATTATGTTAAATCATAGTATTGTGTCAGGCCTCACTCTTTTTATTACGCTTACGTATCATTACGCAATAGACACAGTTCAAATATTTTGACTTGCATTTACGTAACTAAATGTTTAGTTTACATAATATGCTAATTTTTTGGTAGCATGTACCTATTCCAAGACTGCTACTTACCAGTAACAACAATTGTTTATATGGTTCAGTATGACTGTGCTTACCATTGTAATTAATGATACTAACTAAATAGGTAGGTACAATTAATTTGAAAAAAAAATTAGTTGCTACTATGTGTACCTACTGATAATTTCAAATATTAGATTGGTAAGTACTTAAGTTTATTTTCTTTCACATTTTTCATGATAAAGATTATCCGTTGAAAAGGAACTATTCCCAAAAATACCATTGTTAAAATTATACGGTACGACAAAATATTTAAAGTGGGTTCCATAGCATTATAATATAATTTGAAAGTAAACCGCAACATCTAAAGCAAGCAACCACAACAATATATATTTTGTATGAAAAAATATATATATACCTATTTAATAATAAACTATTCAAAATTCAAATGAACAAGTTTTAAAAAGGTGCTGTTTGATGAAATATTACCGATGTCAAAGGTCATACTAAAATTACTTTTCTTTAAATGTCAATTTGTTTCTTTGGATATTTTCCAGAAAAACAATATATTGCTAAATATGTTTAAAAACAAATAGTATAGATAGTATGGGACGAAGTTTAATCAAAAAGATTGATGTAAACTAATGTTATCTAAAGATTTATAGAGTTTTAAATATTTTTAAACAAAATATTAACAACTCATACTTTAATAACTAATTGGTGCAACTAATGGCTATGGTATGGCCTGCACCTTCATTAAAACATTTAAAATAACTATTCATTTATAATAATAATAATATATCATCATTTTACTCACTGTGTTCCGTGTACATAATATATTAAAATAGTATTGTGTGCTGCCTAGAAATTTTTTTCGGGGGAGGTTCAATATGTTTACCACTAGCCTAATCAAGTTCAACACGTATATATTTTATTAAGATCAACTTGATGAACAATTCACCCCCTCCCCCTAGGAACTCCCCTGTCCATTGTTATTTTTATTTTTAATTCATCCCAGTATAATATCATAAGTATTAAGTTCACGCTCAGTCATTCAATCAATAAAGTTTGTGTAATATGTTAAGTAATTTTGACTTTGCATGGTCACTTACTTATCACGAGTTAAACCGGCTATAGAACATAATATCTAGAGTATGTATGAATAACCTTACCCACCATACCTGTTTATCAGGTCCCATTACTTTGTATATATTTGCAATATTGACCATAGTTAAAGTGTGTAAGTGAATCATTATGTCTGTAAATTATACCCATGTTTTTATTCCGAAATTTACCGACGTCACATTTTCTGTTCAAATAAAATAAAATTTGATTGCATAATCAAAGTGGTTTTAAGTGGGGGTATGGCATGGCTACGAGAGAGGTATTATAATTTGTGTTGGGCCTGTATCTTCCCAAAAATTACCTTCGGACTTGTCTTTCCAGATTACCTTCACTCGAGAGACCGACACTATTGTATTAGTACCTATATCTATATTCATTTTTCGCCTATTTACTGTGACAGGTAATTATTACTGTTTGTATGGCGATCGCATACAAAATCGAATAATATGTTATCCTTGATAACTTATCAATACTAACTTTTATAACTATTTTCTTAATATTTATTAATAGTCGATGTAGAAATATTTTCCGGTATATAATCTAAAAGCTTCTAAAAAAATCATTATACTATATGTCGATTCATTCAATTTTACTGTGTATCATTAAAACCAACCGATGATACCTACCTATGCTTCATAGCATATTAATAAGATTATGCATTTAATTATTATGTTCGGCGGAGAGCTGCGCCGGAATAATGGAACTCGTTAAAATGCATCACAATATATTAAACGATAAAGCACTTTTGTGTTGGTATCCACTCAATATCTAATCGAAAAACATGTGTTCTATATAATAATGGCACTCAGCGAGTTTGTGTATGTTAGTTATCTTTTTTTATATTTTTACTGGAAAAAAAAATGAATACAATTTTAACAAACAGTTTTTGGGTCATTGATTATCAATTGTCCGCGGATCGAGGGGACGGAGAAAAAGGGCAACGCGAACAGACATAATACCAATTGTTATCAGAATATGTATTAAGATGTTTGTTCCTGTTTATTCTTGTGGAAACATATACCTGGGGTCAGTAAAATGTCACAGACAGAAAAGATTCAATAAATCGTCGAACACTTTTTGTGTCGTGAAAAATGCTTTTGAGCCCAGTGTATAGCATTATAGGATTTAACAGCATTAAAATTTTTTAGAAAAAGTGTTTTTTAAATTAAATCCAATTTTATTATTTTCAGTTTAAAATGAAATGTTATCTGCAGGTTATACAATTTTTAGATTAATTTTAATTGTTTAAAACAGTTTACTTTCATACAGAAACACAGGAATATCATCGTGTTATTAAAATCTACTTGAAGGTTAAATTAAATAAAACACGACGCGTACTTGTAGTTATGGTACACAATAATAAAAATGAGCAACAAAGTATTATGCGTTTGCCAGTTTACCAAATGAAAAAAAAAAATCTTTCAATATAAATTTTCCTAATTATGTGTACCTATTATAGAGTACCTGAATTGCGGAATAAAAATCCCCGAGAAAAAAAATCCCCGACCATATGGAAAAAAAACCCCAGACTATAATATTTGTATATTACTCACAATCACATGCAAATTATTGAAATATTATTTTTTTAAATGCTAATTAGTGTAATTACTAATTACCATCATTATTAATAATTGATTACAAATATATACTTAATACTAATAATATTGTGTGTTTTATAATGCTGCGATATTATGTATAATTCTGTAAAATTAAATAACTAAGATAATTTTTTTTTTTCATTACTTTAAGTTATTTTCTAATGTATCTAATATTATATACGATATAAGAATTAAGAACTTAAAATATTGTGTATGGTGTAGTACTGTAGTGTGTATAGGTTACACACTACTAGGTACCTTTGATAACTGATTTTTTTTTTTACTTTGATTACCTATATTAACTATTGTTTGATAATAATTTTTATTTTAATTTTATAATGTTTTAA